GATGACTAGTTTATATCAAGTTGACATAAAACTATCCATCACATACAGTATATATGTAATGTACGTGAGTGGCGAGCATTCTTCCCGCCAGCCTGGTCCCAGAGCCGCGTCAGTCCCAAATGAACACGCAGGACACTGTACCAATTATGAAGCTGTTGGCTATCCTCTATGGTTTCTTGTTGGCTAGCTCTGACTTAATTATTAACCCATAACTCCTAATCTGAATATTTCCACGTGGTCTTCTCTTACTGGAGAAAGGGTCTGGACCTCTTACTCCTCTGGCATCCTGCATGGTGACTGACTGTGCCTCTGTTTCCCAGAATCCTCCACCTCTCCTAGTCCCACCTATCTTGCTTCCCTATTGGACAACAGTGCTTTATTCATCAACCAATAAGACAAACATATGCACAGAAGGACTTTTCCTATCATCTCCTCTTTTATGTCTAAATAAAAAGAAAGGTTTTAACTTTAACATGTCAATTTATATATAACAGAACAGTTATCAAGTGAGAACTATAGTTATAATATTTAGTCCATTAACATTTAGTAAGATTTAAAGAAGGTATTTTATCATCTATCCTATCTGTGTGAGTCTAAAGTCTTATATGTGGCTTATCTTTTATCATAACCAAGGAAAACTATAACTGTCTTCAACTCCATCAAAAATCGCAGAAGGATAATATATAAACACTAGAAAACACTAGAATTGAGATAGACATCTCACTACCTGGACAGTCACCTGAAGTTTCTCTGTAATGTTGGGGCATTCATCTTAAGCTCATAGGCCACAAAGTGTCTGGCCGACTTCTCAGCAAAGCAGGAAATTTAAACTGTCCACCTGCATTGGCAATTTGACAGTCAATTTTCTCTGTGTCCTGTAGAATGTCTGGCAGACTCTTCCATGAAGCAAGAACCCTGTAGGACTGCCCTATCAAGTTTAGCAGTCACTTAGCTGTGGGTCCTGTATGCCCAGTCTATCAAACAGTAAAGGCAAGAGCAGTTTCTTGCCCAAATGGCTAATCTTGCCATGTTGAAAGCAAACTCCATAACGAGTTTCTTCGATGCTCATCTTCCTCTCAGACATAATAGGTGTGTCAGGAATAGTTGTGTCTCACTATCATGAAAAACCCTAAACTATTTAAATGCGATATATTCTGTAGGTCTTTGAAAGATTTGAAGAATATCCATCTCAAATACATCTCTGTATATCTAGAAAACCTAACTAACTTGACTATAAGTTCTGACTATCATAGGTGACTACATACAATCTGTATTTAATTATGCATTAAAATTTAAAAGACCAGCATAAACACAATACTTAAACAAGAGAAGAAATATACACATCACAAAATTGACCTTAAATATCAATAAATGAAAATCCATACCAATAAAAAGTATTCATTTCCATATCATATTCTCTTTTTCCCTTTAGAAAGAGATTCACTGTGACCATTACCATTTATAACCACCCTGTATAAATGAAAACAAACATTTATAAACAATATTTGGGAATGTGGGCATCGTTTTCTCCAAACTACTTCCTGCTGTTAAGGGGGCACTGTCTTGGGAATCCTGAGAAGACCCAGAAATCCTGGCTGTAGTGGTCTGTAGCTGTATTATCTCAGCTGTTTTGGGATGTTGGATGACCTGGGCCATTGCTTCAAGGGGTCTTGCTTCATCAAACCATATAAATCTGGAAGGGATGCATAGCTTTTCATTTTCTGTGCAAACACAAGCAAAATCTTTTTTCCCAAGTAACCTCTCCTTATATTTAAATTTAGAAGTTAAAGCATTTGTAAAATATGTAAGTTGGATTAATTTAGCAGCATTGATAATCAAATGTCTTTTAGTAGTTGATGCTCCTTCCCCAGGAATTAAACAATTGAAAGACAACACAATAGCACACAGTATCCAGACTCTGTGTGTGTTTTTCATCTTTACGTGACTTTTAAATTTATCTATTCATTATTATTACTCTATTTCTTTTAATTGTCCCTTTTTCCTTTTTTGAGACAGGGTTTCTCTGTGTATTTTGGCTGTCCTTGAACTCCCTCTGTACACCAGGCTGGCCTTGAAATTACAGAGATCTGTTTGCTTCTGCCTCCTGAGTGCTGGAATTAAAGGTGTGAGCCATCACACCCAGCTACCCTTCCTTCCTTCCTTCCTTCCTTGCTCCCTCCCTCCTTCCCTCCCTCCCTCCCTCTCTCTCTCTCCCTCCTTCTCTCTCTCTCTCTCTCTCTCTCTCCCAGTATCCTGTTTCTTTTTCTCTCCCAAACCTATGTATATTTTTAAACACACTATAAACCTTTTAGAGGTTTTACTTCATCTGAATCTGACTTTACTGTAAATCTTTATGTTTTCTGGCCACATGTCTGTTATCTGCTAAACAACATTGCTAAAATTAAAATGGCAGCTGTTTTAACTGCTGGCTTTCCATCATGGTGGGTGTAAGTTTACCGCCAGCACTGTCTGCACAAATCTCTGCTTGTCTCTAACTAAACCTGAGAAAATGCTAGTACAAGAAGTTGTGCTTGTCTCTGTTCTTTTGTTTCTAAAATCCCTCTTAAGCTTTTGTTAGATTTATGTGGAAATTCTTGCCCCATGTTGAGGGTGTCATATGTAATGAGCATTCTTCCCTCCAGCCTGGTCCCAGAGCCACGTGAACACATAGGATGATATATTAATTATGAAACTATTGGCCATTTGCTATGGTTTATTGTTGGCTAGCTCTGACTTAATTACTAACCCATAACTACTAATCTGTATATTTCCACATGGTCTTCTCTTACTGGAGAAAGGGTCTGGACCTCTTACTCCTCTGGTGTCCTGCATGGTGACTGACTGTGCCTCTGTTTCCCAGAATCCTCTGCCTCTCCTAGTCCTACCTATCTTGCTTCCCTATTGGACAACAGTGCTTTATTCATCAACCAAGAAGACAAACATACACAGAAGTATTTCCCCCATCATATGTATATATTCACACACATGCCAGCTTTTTCCTTGGCACTTTTGGTGTGTGCATGTATATTTGGATGTATGTAGGTGTGTGTGTGTGTGTGCGTGCGCGCTCGGTACATGCATTAAATAACAGGGGTGCATGCTTGTGGAGGCCAGAGGTCAACCTTGGGAGACATTCCTCAAGAAGCTATCCCACCAATTTTTTTTAAGTTTAAAAACTTGTTTTTATTTTATGTGTGTGTTTGCCTGCATGTATGTAGTGTGCCATGTGTGTGCCTTATGCTTGAAGAAGCCAGAAAAGAACATCAAACACCATGGAATTGAAGTTATAAATGATTGGCAGCCCAAATCAGTTTTATTTTAATGAATAAGGCAGGTTGAGGGTCTGGTCCTCAAGGGTCACTTGGGCTTGGACTCCTGTAACCTTTTTTTTGGTGGTTTTTCCAGTCATTTTGTCTTGGAGCTACTGAGGATATTCCCTCTGTATTAACATTCCCTTTGCAGAGTGTATGCTAATAAGAGTCCACTCAGTAGGGTCCTCAAGGCTCCCCAATCAAGAGAACACGTGACTTGTCAGACCTTAAAGACATTTTAAGAAGTCTCCTGGAAGCTAGTTGACCTTGGAGGTCAAGGGTCTGTCACTGAACTCGAAACTCTCAGATTTGGCTGTGCTGGCCGTGGGAGCTCGAGGGATCTGCCTGCCTCTGCTTCCAGCGTGCTGAGATTGCAAGTGCCTGCCACGGGAGAGAGACATCACTGCTTTCATGTTTGACCCACCTTGATTTGTGGCTTTCCTGTGTTCTGTGATTGTAAAAGTTGATGTAACCATTTCCATGGAAGAACATGTCATCTGGGACAACCTGAGTCTGCGTTGCCAGGCAGCACTCATTCGTATGTGACTCAGTGTAAACATGAAGCAAAAAAAAAAAAAAAAAAAAAAAAAACCAAAACAACTGAGGAGCAAAGGTTCTCTGGCCTGTGACAATGGGTGAGGTTTGGTTTTGAAGTGGTGCAATATTCTGTGATTGGCATGAGATGGTGGTTGCTCACATTTGTAAACATGGTAAGATCCCTTGAGTTATACACTCTAAGTGGATTAATCCCACGATATGCAAACAACATCCTCCCCCCAAAATGACAGGAATGTCTGGGGAGGTGGTAAAGATCTTCCTGTGAAAATCCCTGGGGCTTACTGGCCAGCCAGCCCGGTTTGCTTAGCAAGCCCCAGGTTCGGTTGACAGTGCCTGTCTCGAGACCAAGGTGGGGTTATCCCTAGGGCTCATGGATAAAAACACTTGCCATCAAACCTGATGACCTGAGTTTAATCCCCAGCATCTACATATATTCTGTGGCACATACGAGCTTACACAGGCAAGCACACTCACAGAAAAAAAAATCCTTTTTTTTTTTTTGGTTTTACGAGACAGGGTTTCTCTGTTTTGGAGGCTGTCGGTTCAGCCTGGCCTTGAACTCACAGAGATCCGCCTGCCTCTGCCTCCCGAGTGCTGGGATTAAAGGCGTGTGCCACCAACGCTCGGCCGAAAAAAAATATTTTTTTTAAATTAAAATGTGACTTGAGAAGAGGTCCTCTTGCCTGTGACAGTGATAAAGGTGCTCTCATATTTGCTGGTTGCTTTTCAGTTGCTGTGATGAAACACCACAGTAAAGGCATCCTGTAGAAGAAAGGGTTTATTTGGGCTCGTGGCTCCAGAAAGTTAGAGTTAATGATGGTGGGCCAGCATGGAAGGAAGTAGGTGGCGGGGCGTGGCTACAGGGCAGGAGGCGGAGCGTTCGCACCTCGAATCACAAGCAAGAAACAGTGAGCTAGAAGGACTTGGCTTTTCACTCTCAACCGTACCCCCAGTGACACACTTCCTCCAACGAGGCTGCAGCCCTTAACTTTCCCCAGACAGGGTCAACCAGGGGCCAAGTGCAAATACCCAAGACTGTGGAGGTCAAGGAGGGACTTGGGGGCGGAGGGGAGACAGGGCAGCCTCGGCCGTCTTTCATTGGTGTGGTTGACGGGTCTCTTTGTCCTTTAGGAGGACTGGCCCTGGCGCAAGTACTCTTCTTCTATGTGAAATACCTGGTGCTCTTCGGTGCTCCGGCTCTGCTTATGCGTCTGGACGGACTCACACCGCCGCCCCTCCCCCGCTGTGTGAGCACCATGTTCAGCTTTACCGGGATGTGGAGGTGAGAGTCTCATGGTTTGCTTGGATCTTTTGGGTGTGTCCAAGTGGCCTTGCTGCTGTTCTTCCCCTAAACCAAAGCCGCATTTGGTACTACACATTCTTTATCCTGCTAACGCGTGATGGCAGTCCGTGCTGTCTGACCCTCCCCGGGGTTATCGTCAAGCTACGGAGGTTAAGTGAGGCAGGGCGCACACAGGGCTTGTCTCGTGGCTTGTGATAAAAATACTCCAACCAAAGCAACCGAGGGGAAAAGGCTTCGTTTTGGTTCACGGTTCAAGTGTAAAGACCAACGTGGAAGTCCTAGGCTTGGGGCTTGGGAGGCAGCTGGTCACATTGCATCTGCACCCAGGAAGCGGGGTGCAGCGAATGCTGGGGCTAAGCTGTCTTTCTTCTCCTTTTCACGCAATCCAGGACCCAAGCCCAGGGAATGATGCCACCTGCTTTTAGGGTGGGTCTTCCCACCCCAGCTAACCTACCCATGACAGTCCACCTGGTGGCTTGTCTCCCAGGTGAATCTGGACCTGGTCAGGTTGACAATAGGCGTCTTCACAGACATCCTATGATGCTTTCCTTGAGAAGTGACCCTGTAAGTCACACCATTGACTAAAAATGGACTGAGTGTAATAGCTTAGGCCAGCACTGCAAACATTTGTCTCCAAAAGTTCTTTTGGAGATGGAACAAGCCGTGGCAGTTGCTTTCCGATGTTAGCCCTCAACTTTGTATTGTTCCCGTGCAAGGTTTCACGTGATAGGCTGATGTTTCCTTTGGGTTCTCTTCGCCGTTACTGATTTTTGTCCCCCAAACTTATGATTGGCCTGGGATTTCTGTTCCTAAAGACTCCAAGTCCCTTGTCATTTTTGTTGGCTGTTTTACAGAAGGGCTTGCTTGCGTCTGCGTTTTTCTGAGCATGCCCAGTGTGTAGCCAGGGTCGGGACTGCTGTTGCGATCACAGACCCAGTGGACAAGCTCAGGGTGGGCACTGGCTCCTCAGGGGGAGTCAGCGCCTGCTTACAACCTGGGCTCTGTCCCCTTGCTTGCCCCTTTCTAATTCTGGCCCTGTTCAGAGTTACTGTTTTGCCTCGTTCATCTCTGTAGGCACAAGACCTAAGGCAGAGATAGCTGGAGAACTCAGCGGATGTTGCCGTACCCCGTGTTGCCTTTATGAAGGGCACAGGCAGCATGCAATGTTGCTTCTCCATAGTTGTGGGGGCACATGTGGAGTGACCTGGGATGCTTCTTTTTTTTCTTCCTTTTTTTATTATTTTTTTTTACATTCCAATCCCAGTTTCCCCCTCCCCCCTCCCCTCCCCCCTCCCCCCACTCACCCCGCACCTCCCATCTGCTCCATGGAGAGGGTAAGGCCTCCCCTTGGAAGTCTACTAAGTCTGTCCCATCATCTTGTTTAGACAGGACCAAGGTGCCTCTCCACCCCCGCACCCCTGTGTCTGGGCTGGGCAAGGCATCTCTCCATATAGAATGGGCTCCACTAAGTCGGTTTGTGCATCAGTGTTATATAGGAGACCACTGGCAGTGGGTCCAAGACCTGGGTGTCTTTACGAACATTTCAGTCGTGTTCCGGCTTGCTCTATGGGGTCGGAAGTTTCCTGTGGCAATAGTAGGACTGTTAAGCAGCTCCCTTGCGTTTCCTCTGTCATTTCATCAAGCTCCAGGTTGGCCTTTGTAATGACAAGACCGGAGAATGATGGCAAAAGGGGCTCTTTTCAAGGCTGGGTAGGTTTTGTTGAGATGGACCTCACTGGAAGCTGTCATCCTATAACCCGCTCAGAAAGGTCACTTCCTCAGTCAGTGGTGGGGACCAGGGATGATTTGGGAACATGTCACAAGCAGGGTAGGAGCCCTGCTTGGGTTCTCTGCCTCTCTGTTGGGACCATCTGCACTAATGTACTTGGGAAGGACATTTTCCTGGTGGCTTCTGCATGGTAAGCAGGAGTGGTGTGGTCACCATGGTGACCAGGGCAGTTTCTTTGTCCATGGTTTCCATAAGGTGGCTGTGTTTTCATATAGTGAAACACATGGCTGTCTGTTTTGGCTTTATTTAATCAAAATTTTAAGAAGTTTTTTTTAACGTGTGTGTGTGTGTGTGTGTGTGTGTGTGTGTGTGCATGTCTGTGTCTGTGTATAATTATGTGTCCATCAGTATAGGTGTCTCTGGATCATAGATGGAGGTTCCTGTCCCACCTGCTCCCACAGCTGTTTAGCACCAAATGAACACACTGATGCTTGTATTAATTATAAACTATTTGGCCTATGGCTCAAGCTTCTGATTGGCTAGCTCTCTCTTAATTATTAACCCATTTGTATTAGTCTAAGTATTTCTGCATGGTCTTATCTTACTGGAGAGCGTCTGGACCTTTTACTCCTTTGTCGGCTACATGGTGTCTCTCTCCTGAATTCTCTCTGTGTCCTCTCCCCAGAATTCTCCTCGTCTCGTAGCCTGCCTATACTTCCTGCCTGGCTACTGGACAATCAGTGTTGTATTCATCAACCAATAACAGAAACAAATACACAGAAGGACATCCTACATCACTGGAGGCCAGAAGACATCTGACATTGGATACAGTGGGGCTGGAGTTATAGGACGTTTGACTCACCTGGTGTGAGCACTACAAACTGAATTTGTTTCCTCTAGAAGATCAGTATGCACTGTTAACTTACAAACCATCTCTCCAGCCCCCTTATTTAACTTATTTTTTGCCCAAGAAAGATCCTCAATTTATATCAACTACAGAGATAGATAAAACATAGCCACCATTGTCATGGTCAGGAACAGAGTGATGAAGATTAAAAGGCATCTACAAGACCACTTGAGGAAAGAATGAGTAGATTCTCTCCTCTAGAACTGACGCAGGTTCCCATTCTTACTTCTGCAGCATGCAAGACTGGAAAGTTCCTTGCTCTTCTAGATTTATTGATTAAAGCACATTTCTACCTGTATATGGATGCCTTTGGGAGTTTGAGTGCCCTGTGTGCATGCAGGTGACCAAGGAGGCCGGTCAGATGGGCATCAGATCCACCGGAACAGAGTTACTGGTGTTTGCAAACTGCTAGATATAGACTCCGGGCACTGAACCTGAGTCCTCTGCAAGAGCAGTGAGGGTCTTGCCGGCAGAGCCGTCTGCCCAGCCCTGTGTTGGTTTTGTTGTTTTGCTTTTGAGGCGAGGTGTTGCTGTGCAGCCTAGACTGGTTTTGAAATCAGGAGACCAGCCTCCCAAGTGCTAGGGCTACCAGCATGCACCACCACACCCAGCTTCTCCATATTTCAAAGCCTCTTTCCAGCTTGCTAACTATACTCGAAGTGCTTGCGTCTCTGTACGAGGTGGCCTTTCCAGGTTCAACAGCTGAATTTCAGAATCCAGGGAAAGACTCAGCCCTTGTGCCAGGGGAAAGGCTTTTAAACTGAAAAGAATTAAATCACTGATTATCTTTGTGTTATTTGCAGATTGTTACTTCCTCACGGGGAGGTTTTTCAGTGTTGTGTGTGGGTGCCCATGAATGTCTAGTGTATGTGTGTGTGTTTGTGTAGTATATGTGTGTGTGTGTACATGTGTGTCTGTGTAGTGCATGTGAGTGAATATATACATGCATGTTCATTCATGTTTAGGCCAGAGGTATGCTGATTGTCTCTCTCAACTGCCCTCCATCTTATCTTCTGAGACAGTCTCTCACTGAACCTGGAAGTCACTGATTAGCTAGGTTGACTGGACAGCAGGCTCTGGGGATCTGCCTGTCTCTGCCTCCCCTGCACTAGGGTTGCAGATATATGTGACCACACCCAGCTTTGTTCTGTGGGTTTCATGTTACATTTCTGAGCGTGCATGGTCTGTTAAGGGAAGGCCGATTGTGAAGTTGTGATTTACACTGATGATTCTGGGTTGCATATTGGGGTGTTGCTGCAGACCAGGAGTGGCTCCCTCTTCCTGAGCCTAACAAGAATTGAATCAAGAGCAGAGGACTGAGCTGGTGTTGCGAGTGTTCTGCTGGGCCATGGCGGAGGGGAGAGGTCTAGAACAGTCTCCTGGAGGGCATTTAGTGATTCTCCCAATCTTCTGGAAATAGATACTGAGTGAGGTTTAGAACCAACGATGAGACTGTTATCAGCATAGCACCTTACACACACTGTACCGTCTTCCACTGCAGTTTCAATTGCAGGACCCCAATGCCAGTAGCCTGCTGTGTCCTTGGAATCTGAGCTTTGTATCATAGAACACACGATTATGGTCATCGACAGAGAGATGATCTTCCTTGACAGGATGTTTTAATTGTCCATGAAGAACTGCTGCTCACTGTGATGGCCCACAATTCCAGTTGGGACCTGATGGGTCTGTTCACTCCTTCCCCTGGCCTCCCTTTCCCTGGATCTCATTGAAATATTTACAAATGTAGCAAAGCCCCGAGGAGCAGCTGTATTCCCATGGCGTGAGTTTCCCGTGGCTGTATGGGGCTGGGAAATTGAAATTTCTATGCTTAATCTCTAGGTGTCATGTTTTAATTTAGATGAGCCGAGATCTCTAATGAGTACCCTTTGCCAAGAGTCATTAAAGATGGTGTTGCGTGTCTGAGGTTCCAAATTAGCATTCTGATCATGTCCCCAGGTTTGATTTCTAGCTATGGAGGTGAAGTGTGTGAAGTGATAGGATTTCCCACAGTGGCTGGTGAGTTATGGCTCAATTTCAGTTATCTCAAGCATCCTAGGTAGCTTGCCCTCCGCACTGCTTGAGTTATGATGCTTTCCGGTCTTTTGCAGGCAAATTCATGCATCATCCGTTATCCCGGGGGAATCTGGATGGTGGTTGGTGGGGCTGGACTTTATTGTGTGAGTACATCTTCAGTCTGGGAGGAGGAGCAGGAGGAGGAGCCTGAGCACTTTCTCTCAGTGGGGCATCAATTGCCTGGGCTGGTAAGTCAATAGAAGAATTTAGCTCTCTAGGTAAGGAGTTGGCTCTACTTGTGCAGTAGATGACAAACCCAGGGATGAACAG